GTCACTTTCATACACCGCTGGAGCTCATTGACAGCTCATCCGTGGGACACAGGGCGCCTCAGCGATGCCCGTAAGAAGGGCATCTTCCTTCCAAAAAAATACTTCTCTCTTCCGCTATTCGCTTCTGACACTTCGAAGCACCAGCATGCTTGGTCGCCCACGCTGCCTACAGGTGTGGCAGTGGATCAGGACCTGGCAAGAGTCATCATTACGAGTACCTGGGATGAGCGAGGTGTAGCGATCTGTGATCTGCCCAGCTGGGCGGAGCGGAAAACGCGCAGCGGTCCCTGAAGGTGCTACGGCACGACATAGCCATGGTACTTGGAATATTACAAGTGACTCAGGCTCATGCATTCTATTAGATAAGAGCATTGATCTTGACGTAATGATACAAATGCAGTGTGTGGCGAAGCGTATTTGCGCGCGAGATGATCACGATGTCTTGCCGCGGCTGCTGCTGAGTAGACTTTGACGTTCGCGCTGGGCCGACTCAATGTCGCTCTTAGCAATGTTGGAACTATCGCACATTCGCCTGAAGTGGCCATCCTCTCCTCCTCGTTCCCACAAATCAAGTGGCGGGCCGATTTCGACTATCTTGCCAGCGTCCATGATACAGACGCGGTCGTAGGAGATGACAGTGTTGAGACGATGTGCCACAGTGAGCACCGTTTTGGCAACCATGTCCACGGATATGGTTCGTTGGATGGCCGCATCTGTCGAGTAGTCCACCGAAGCCGTCGCCTCGTCTAGCACCACGATCTGTGAGTGACGGACAAGCGCGCGGGCCATCGAGATGAGCGCTCTTTGCCCTTGGCTGAGATTGCTTCCTTCGTCTTCGATGGCAGTGTCCAGCGTGAGGTGTGGGGGTCTCTGGGCGTTCGCATCTGTGCCGGAACCTTGATGGACGACGTTGATGGTGGACGTCGAAGAGCTGGCAGACTCGGTCCGACCGATGGGCTTGAGCAAGCACGCTCGCTGCAAAGCGTTGTTCAGAGTCGCGTCATCACATTCTCCGAGAGGATCAAGATTGTGCCTTAAGGAACCGCCAAACATCAGGGGATCTTGGGGAATGATGGATATCCGACTTCTCAAAGTTGCCAAACCTAAGTTGGAAATGTCGACTCCGTCGATAAAGATGGATCCGCTCGACAGCTCCATCATTCGCAGAAGTGTCGTCATCAGTGTAGTCTTCCCGGCACCCGTTCGACCGCAAACAGCGATGTGTTCACCTGGCGCAATGTGCAACGAGACGCCTTTGAGCACGGCTGGCAGCCCCTCTCGGTAGGACGCGACAACCTCCTTGAATTCGATTTGGCCTTGACTTGGCCAAGTCGGAGCGAGCTTGCTGTCATGCTCCGGCACTTTGTGAGCCGGCTCCATCTCGACATTGTTGGCGTAGTAGACCAAGCGCTCTATGGCAGACATGTTGTTTTCAACTTCAGCGCTTTGTCGAATGACCCAGGACCAGACACTCTGAGCAGTAAGGATGAACGAGAGTGCAACACCTGTCTGACCAGGGCTTAGAGTAAAACGAGCGCCAACGGCGAGCATGGCGACGGCGAGCACCAAAAGGGAGCCGAAACCATCGAGTCGAACAGAGAGCCACCTCTGACAAGCCATTGAGAGCCAGTACGCGCGGTTCTCCACGTCGATGCGCTTTGCGTTTTCGCGCAGGAAGCTTTGAGACTCGTTGTACGCCCGGATGGTGGTGATGCCAGACAGCGACTCGGCGAAATGCTCGTACATCTTGCTGCGCAGCACAGCATCCAACCTTCGAAGTTCGCGTGCGCTCGTGCGGTAATAAATGCCGGTCCAAAAGTACAGGAGGACCATGACTCCGACGGCGATGAGAAAGTAAGGCGTGAGGTAGGCGATAAGGACGATCGAGCCGACAACCTGAACGACGACGCCCAGCAATGTTCGGATGGCGTCACCAATGACATTGTCGATGACGTCGACGTCTTTGCTGAACCGATGAGTGATGCGACCCAGCGGAGTCGTGTCGAAGAATGAGCAAGTCGCGTGGCAGACACGTTGCAAAGCACGCCGGTGGAGCGTCGCTGAGCTGTAGAAGGTGAAGAACGCAAAGACTTGACCCATTGCCAGAAGGCCGAGCGCTTGGCCAACGCCGAGGACTCCGTAGACGCCCATGTAGACGCCAAGTGGCAAATTGTACTGCTTCTCTTGCCACCAAAGCAACCACAGCGGGCTCAAAACGGTCGAACCTTCAAAGACAAGGATTGCTAGCACGAACAAAGGAAACAACAGAGGCATGTTGCCGGCCTTCAAATAGGTGCCGTATGCTGAAGTGGGAATGTTGGTCCCTCACAGTTAGCGTAGTCGACCTGGTCCGCTCAGAGAAATTGGTACTCACTATTCTTGCTCACAGAGCCCGTAAAGCGTTCTTCCAGCTGCATGACGGCCTTTGGTGCCTCTCTGCCCCGAGCGGGGGATTCTGGCTTGCCTGATGCCAGACCCTTCTGGCCTGCAACGTGATTGGACTCCGGTTCGATCTCGCATTTGCCCTCGATGGCATCGTCCTGTTCGTGTGGCTCGGGTGCCTTTTCTTCGTTCAGAGCACCTCCGTACTTTTCGACATAGCGAGAGAAAGGACCGTTGTGGCCCAGTAATTGACCATAGGTGCCCTGCTCTGCGATTCGTCCGCCTTCCAAGGTGATGATGTAATCGGCGTGAGGGAGCAGATGAAGGGCGTGCGTCGCCAAGATGCGAGTCTTGCCGCTCAGGCTGCCTTGCATCACCTGTGTAAAGACGGCTTTGCCGACATGCGCATCCAACGCCGAGAAGCAATCATCGAAGAGGATGACGTCGTCGTCGTGGTAGACTGCGCGCGCAATGTTGACACGCTGCTTTTGGCCGCCAGATAAAGACACGCCTTTCTCTCCCACAACGGTCTGGTCTCCTTGAGGCAGCATCGCAAAGTCGGGCAGTAGACAGGCGTCGTGGACCACTTGTCTATACCGAGCTTCGTCGTAGGGACGACCAAAAGTGATGTTGTCCCGAATGGTCGACGAAAGGATCCATGGCACCTGGGCACAAAGACCCAAGCTGCCTCCAAAGACTACGCTACCGCCCGTTTGCCTCATCTCTCCCGCCAAAGCGCTCATCAAACTACTCTTGCCGGACCCTATAGGCCCCACAATCGCAACAAGACTACCCCGTGGCACGTTCATAGTGATGTTCTGCAACCTTGACGGCGTCGCGCTCGCCTTCTCGGGTTCAGCAGCGCGACCCTTTGCCTTGCCCGCAATGTCATTAGCCGTGCTGGAAGGCGGAGCGGAATCCCACTCGAAGCTTGCCTCGTACATTTCCAATCCATTATGCAAATTTTCGTCTACCGGATGGCTTCCAGCCGCAAGTTCGCCCTCGAAAACAGCAGAGATGCGTCTGCAGGCGTTCGTAGCGTCCGCGATGGCGTTCCAAGCGACCGGTAAGAATTGCAGAGGCGTACGGAGCAGCTGGAAGAAGGTAAGCGCAGAGAAAATCTTGCCTGGCTCGAGCTCATTGCCTACTGCTGTATACGTGATGAAGCTGATCACTGCAGCAACAGTGGGTACTGCAAAGGCGAGCGCATTGTTGGCACTACGCCAGCCCAGACGGCGACGCAGGTAGGACAGTTCGTTCGCCCGCAATCGCTTGATTCGCTCCAAGTATGGCGACTCCCAAGCAAAGCATTTGATGGTGCGGATACCAGACATGAGCTCGGTGATTGCACGAACGCGTGCATCGGTCCACTTCATGGAGCGTTTCCTGAGTGAGAACAAGTGCTTTGTGATCAAGCTTTGGCTTGGTGAAAGGAGCAGCACGAAGGCAAATCCCGGCAAAGCTGAATAACCTAGGGTGTAGATTTGCAGAGCTAGACAGATGGCGATCTGAACAATGGAAGTCCACGCCATGTGGAAGAACTGACAGCAATAGTCGATGCGGCTGACGTCGGCAGATATAAGTGTAACGAGCTTCGAATTGCCAAGGCCTCCAGATACGCGAGACCTGTTCGAGAGGCGCATGGCTCGACGGTAAATCGCGTGAATGAGCGCTGTCCGAAGAAGGATTCCAGTGCCGAATCCGCGGTAGAAGGAATGGACGTTTAAGAAGACGATGGTGAGCTGGACAAGGAAGAGTCCGATGCCAAGACCGATGCCTTGGCCGATGTGAGGAGCTGTTGGACCACCTGGCTGCTTGCTATCGTACGAAGCAGTCACAAAGTCTGTGATGGAACGAAGTAGCAGCGGCGAGGTGATGGTGCCAATGTCAGACAGAAGTTTCAGGAAGCCGCCGGTCCAGAAGAAGACGAGGACAGTCTCGTTCATTGCCATTGCTAGCGACGGCTTCTGAGGCTTTGTCGCCTTGTTTCGCCTCCAGAAGAGCAAGCGTGGGGAGCGGTTTCCGGACGATGTCCCACCTCCGACGTCCGTCACTTTTTCCGATTTGTCTGCCTCCGAACCAACCTGAGGTAGCCCCTTCGCAGTATTCGCAGCTTGAGCTTTCAAGCACTGTCGCTGCCAAGCTTGTTCCAGACGATCCGCATACTCGGACGCTTGCGTGCTATCCTGCAACCGGTACAGATCCTCAGGGGTCAACGGCCGGGTATAGCCCACAGTGAGCAGTTTGTTGAGCCAAGAGAAGGTGACAATATTCCACCAATTCGCGTGCAGCTCTGGTGTCATGACTGGATGGTCGAGAGACGAGAGCACTGGCCGGGGCTCCGTCGATAGAAATGGCACCCGGCGATACCATGGCCGCGGTGGATAGCGCGGTACGTCGCCCGCCTTCATCAGCACCGTGTTCGACATGGTCCAGATGAGCAGGGCAAGGCGGGCAGGGAGCCGATGGGAAAGAGAGAGAAATCACGGAGTCGTCTATGCTGAGAGGTCATGGTGGTGACCAAGTGTATCAGGCCTCTGAAGATTTCAACCCTTGCCTACCTAGCCGCGCTCCCCCACTCAGAATCACCCGATCGAGGTCCCTTCGAGCATCGCAGTGTGATTCTCATCAGCAGACTTGCACGCCTGTCTGCGAAAAGTGTCGGATTCCCGCCTGCAGGCCTGCACACAGGACCGACTCAGCTCATGCAAGACTAAAGGGAGAGACCTCGCTAAATTTCAAACGATACATCCAAATCTGCGCGCAGCTTCACGCCGTCCCAAAATCTTGCGGTGATGGCCTCGTCGAGCATGTGGAGCAGCGGAGCTGAAAGCGTGTTGGTGGTCGAACCACAGGCTCACAGCCGCGTAGCCGGAGAGCCGTCTTTGCAGCACGTAAAAGGAGATGACGCATGATCCACGACTGAGATCTTCGCTCAAAGCATCAGGCGATTTTGTTCGCGTGCACATCTCCACACTCATGACTCACACTCATGAGTCATCACTGCTGCATGCACCTGTGCCGGAATGCCCAACGGCAAGGATTGGAGCGGGCGGAGATCGCTCAAGTCGCCGAGCTCCTCGCAAGGCGCGCGGTATCATCATCATCGTCATCAAGCGACCTGAAAGTCGCAGTTTCAAATGGAAAAGGCTGCTGCAGCTGCATAAGTCGAATTTCAAATTCCTCTAATTTTATCAAACACCGCCGGTGCTTCCGCCATCGAGGCAGCTTTGCTGCTCCTGCAAGACGTCAGTCTTCTGCATATTGGATCTGGCCATTGTAATCAGATCCGTCGGTTGGTGGCCCCTACAACAAGAAGGCTTTCGAGAATAAACTTGTATCTGTAGCATCCTGCACGCTCTCGGAGACTCACATCCGACAACAGTCACGGTTGTCTAATTCGATAACGGTCTTGAGTAGCACTTTTGTTTGAGGTAGTGACGATCCCCAAAATTACATCAAAGCATTCAGTGACAGATTTACAGCTGTCATGAACACTGGCATTGAAGGGATTGATTTCCCGAGTCCACGCTTGCAATTTAAATCCAGTGAGCCCTGCTGGGTTGGCAAGGCGAAGTGTGGCAGACGTACGAGCGACTGGCAGAGCGCTTTCGCTCCTCTCTTGGTCCAGGCCTCACTTGTAACATTTGTAAATAACGTCGCTCGAAATCAATGGTCCATTCGTCAATTGGGAATGTCAATATTCACCCTCATTCAAGTGCCAAGGACAGAATCTTTGAGCCGCTCATCGCTATCTTGTAGGTCTTCGGTACTCTGACTAGACCCAGCCAACGTTATACGTGATGACCTTCAACGATCGCTGTCACGTGTGTGTTTGACTGGCGTGTGCCTTGGTGCGCGCGCACGTTTGGCCCGGCCAGCATGCAGCGATCGCATATGCTGTATGCTGCTGTGCGCGGTCCTTGACTCGCACCGCGGCGAAACCGCTTGTACGTCCAAGTCCGAGTCCGAGTCCGATGGGGCAGGCGGCTTGGATCGTGCGAAGTAAAGTCATGAGTTGTAGATGTCCACCTCACTCCGACCACATGTCGCCGAAGCACGGTGCCGTTGGTCATCGATGCGCACTAAGCCACACACGTTGTCCAACATCCCCGACGACCTCGTGGTGACGACTGATAAGTGGCAAGGCATGTGCTACCATAACGCATATCGTGTCGGTGCAGTACTTCTCTTGCAGCTATTCGCAAGAGAGAAAAGGTCGAGCCTCGCGAGCGCAATCTCTCAGGTACATGTAGGTGAAAATGGCATATAGGGGTGACCAAAGAAAGCCCTAGCCCAGACTCGTATTTCCGAAAAGCACCAGTGACTCAAGAAGCAAATCTTGCCGAGTGCAGACGTATTTGTCTTTTGATTTGCAACCACGACTCTCGTCGACACCACCCCTCATTCTCGCGCTAGAAATCTTCATCGTGCCCTTCAAAGCCGAGATGTACGGTAACCCTGAGCCCGACTTTACTGTTCCTTTCAAGCGCGTGACCATCGAAGGCGGCGCGACATTGGACATCGAGGTCGATGTCTACCTGCCAGCTTCAACAGGAGATAGCGCAAGCCTGAGCAATGCGGTACTG